GAAATCTCCCCAATGGAACACACAGCAAAAAAATAAACTGATAGAGGTTTCCTTTCCCTTCTCTATCCAACAGGCCCCATTCACGCTTGCTTCATGTTTACAAATCTGCAGATTTTGGCTGTGTTATATACTACCGCCTATCCACCAGGTCACCACTGTAGCAAACTAAAAGCTGTCAACCTGTGCACATAGGTCATGACATAAAGCCTGTTCCTCTACACAGACAGAGTCAACACTGACCTGTCACAGCTGTTCATTTCCTCCTACACATTACAGGTCATATTTGCCTTTGGATATCTGTGTTTATTTAGTTAACCCTCTAAGATAATAAAGTCTAACTCCAGCCAAAACTTGTGGGAAAGGACTACGGTAGTACTGGATGTTTTAAAATTGTTTGAGTACCTGTTCCTCTTATTTTTTGGTTCTAAAACATCCAGGTGGACGGGAAGAAGTTACAAATATAATTCCATACTTACAATCCAACAGCTTTAGACAGAAAGCAAATATTCAACTCGAAGGAACGATATGCAGCGGGACACACCTTACTCGTTCACCCTGTGTAGAAGTGAAAGTTCAAAATTTGGACTTCTACCTTTTATCCCTATGGCCCCACCCACATTATCTTCTTTAGTCCTTGCTGATTGGTTGCTAGCTAATTTCTAGAATATTCTTTTCTATAATGTGATAGCAGCTCCTTCCTGATTGGTTGCTGGTTAATTTTGAAAATAACCTTTTCTATAATGTAATACCTACCCCTCCCTTCCTTTAGACTTTGAACACTGAAATGTGACTGTATGTTAACAATCAGCTGCATTTCAATGCAATTAAAATGTATGACATATAATAAAGTAATTTTGCTATGAAGACTAACCTTTATTTTTTTTTGAGAAAATGAAAACTGTGCTATACTTATAGGGGCCAACTGGGAAAGCTGTTAAAAAAGAGATGATTTTGTTTTGGTAAACAATACTATATTTAAAAATGTTTTTGGATCTTTGATTAGGTATAAAAATAATATTTTTCTTTAATTAAAGCAGAACTCTGAGGGGAAAAAAACCTTAACCCTTGCAGTGGGGCTACCCTCACATGATATGTTGTTTATCAACAATTAATATTTTAATTTGGAGAATACATCAATATATATGTATTTTAAAGCATAACTCAAGAGTACAAATTTAATCTTAACCCTTACAGCAGGGCTACCCCTGCACTGCAAGTGTTAAATGGTCAATGCTCAAGGTCCAATAATAACAAAGTTGTACTCACCCGATCCTCGGAGCTGACTTGCTCTTAGACAGGTGCCTTCAACCTCTTTCCAGTGATGGTATGTCCCTCGGTGTCTTCAAGTCCTATACATCGTGCATGGAACATGATGACTCCAGGACCTTATACTGCTGCAGCGGAGAGGGAGAGAAGTGGAAGGGACCAGCTGGGGGATCAAGTGAGTATAACTTTGTTACTTTTGAGCCTAGATGAAAACGAGCACTTAAAGGAGAACTATGAGGTGAGTGATTTTCACTCAACCTCATAGTTCAAGCCGACGTGTGACAATGAAACTGTCACACGCCGGCTCTATAGATCGGGAATCGAGCGAACACACACCGTCGCTAGCTCACTTTCCCATCATCTCCCTGCAGAGAGCTGTCAGTCACGGCTCCCTGCGGGGATTCCTCCCTCCCCTCTCCAATTTTCCAGCGCTCACCGGAGGAACGGGGGAGAGGTTTGGCACAGCTGGCTCTGCCTCTAGATAGGCAGAGCCCGCTGTCACTCTTGCAGCTGGGTGGACCTTGACAGCATTGTCGGAATCTGTCCCGGTTGCAACGCTCTCAGTATATAGCGAGCTGTAGCTCTCAGTATATAGCAAGCTGTAGCTCGCTATATACTGAGTTTTGGGTCACAGGAAAAGGTTAGTATATGTCCTCCCGTGAAGTTCAGATCTTCTGCCAGGAGACGAGCAGCGATGCAACTGCACAGACTCCATGGGCCAGGAAGTGCCAGCTAACACAGAGGAGTCAGCGATGGATCGGAGAGCGGCACCATCGCTGGAGGGAGAGCTGAAAACTACAGGAAAGAAGATGGTGATCAGATCAAGAGGCATCATTTAAGGTAAGTCTTTACACTAACATGGTTATTTGTCACTTTAAAGTCACTTTAAGAAAATTCTTCCTCTTGGACAAAGTATTTTTTTATTTTCAAAATAGTAAACAAAGAATTACCTGGTGAAAATAATTAAAAAATGATAAAACGCTGGAAAAAAACAAAAAATTAATGCAGGCACCTTATCTAAGGACTGGTGAGCTTCAATACATACATTTTATTTACACTTATGACAGCACACTGGTAAAATACACCCTAATATTCATGAAGCTATTTCTTAGAATTAGTAGGACACCATATAAGCATGCTTCACCTGTTATTATTGTCAGGGTTATTCACAAAAGGGTGAAGAGTTTGGAGAAGGCAGGGGAATTTAACAATTTGGGACAACATAGCTGGACTGGAAAGTGAGCTGAATTGGAGAATTTTTCCTAATCAGCTATGTTGTCCTAGATTGTTCACTTCTCCTGCCTTCTCCAAACACTTCACCCTTTTGTGAATAACCCATGGGGTGGAGAGTTAAAGTAGAACTCAGGGCAAACAAAAACGTACCCTTGAAGTGGGGCTACCCCCACAATGCAAGGGTTGAGTGTTTTGTTTGGTCTAGGGGCTGAAATAAAGCTGTTTTACTTACCTGATCCCAGCTTCCTCTGGTTTGCTAGACCAGCACCTGCAGCCTCTTCTTCCCTTTGTTCCAGCAGTGTAAGCCCCGCTGACGTCATCATGTCTTATACAGGTCCATTGACCAGCATAAGTCCCCATTCACACCTAGGCTTACCGGGAGCGTGCATCATGCACGTTTTGTTCTCGCATTTGCCACACGTCCTGATTGGTTTCAATGTGTAAATACACGCCCAACAACCACAGGAAAGTAGTGCATGTCGCAAAATCTGCGACATACATTCCGCAGTTTTTTCTCCACGTTTGTGCGCATTTTAACATGCATTTGCCCAGCCGTGTTTGGGGTGCCATTCACTGGTAATGGCACAGCAAGCATGTTTCACGTATTTGACGCGCTTTGCAATTGTGTGTCAAAGCGCGCATTTTTGTGTGCATTTGCTACGGGTTCACGAGACTTTCAGGTCTGAATGGGGACATGAGGGCACTGAAGGATATTCCATAGCTGGAGTGAAGAAGGATAAAGTTGAGCGTCGACGGGATCAGGTAAGTAAAACTGCTTTATTTGATCCTCCGAGACAAATCAAGCATTACACTCTGTAGTGCAGAGGGAGCGCCACTGTAAGAGTAAGATTTTTTAACAATGGCTATTTAGGGTTTTAGGCTTTTTTTTGTGGTTCATTCTCTAACATATTTTCTTTGGAATCAAAATTTTTTTTTTTTTTAAATGACAGCACTGAAAAAAGTACGCATTAAGTCATGTGGCCAGCTCTCTTCCAAACAGGGAGCTCACTCTGTTACATTAAAGAGGAACTTCCCCGTCCCCCATTTAATTTTTATAAATCCCCTCCTACTTAATGCTGGCATTCCCTTATTCTGTCCTACACGTTACCCAGTGGCCTGTGTATAGCTCAACATGCAGCTAAACCCTCATAAGTCGATAAATCTCTCCCTCTTGGCCAGAACATTCCTCAACTGACTAAAGCTGGCCATACACCTATAGATTATCTGCAGATTTTCTATGGTCAGATGGAAAAAGTGCAACAGAATCCTCCATCTACGCTTAACTGTGTGGATGGAGGAATCTCCCACTGGGCCAAGCTTCAGTATCTTGATAGTCGGCCCCGCTGGCTCTCGAAATACTTGAAAAATGCCTGCATCCAATCAGATTGTTCAGGTATTTTGAGAGCCAGTGAGGCCGACTCGCAAAATACTGAAGCTTGGCCCAGTGGGAGATTCCTCCATCCACATAGTTTAGTGTAGATGGAGGAATCTGTTGCACTTTATCCATCTGACCATAGAAAATATGCAGATACTTTATAGGTTTATGGCCAGCTTTAGTCACCCAACCAGCAAATCCAGATGCCCTGCTGTAATTTGCATCCAGATGCAACATTCTAGGTTCTCCTCCATCAACTTCCCTGACTTTATCGGGAGCAGGCTCTCTTCCAGGTTCAGGCAGCCAGCCCTGATGATGCACCATCACCTCCTCTGTCTGCTGTATGGAAGCTGATGCCTTTTGGGATATGTGACGTTCATTTCCTAGGAGGCTTCTGGAGCAGAACACGTCATTCTCACCTAGGCAAGAACAGAGAATAGGGGACAATGTTAATAAAAAAAAAGTAATTAAAGAAAAAAAAAGGGATGATTCTAATGTTGAAGGGGGAGGTTGAGTGTTTAAAGGTGGCATAGTTATATTTCAGGGTGAAGTTCAGTTTTAAGCAACACTTGCTCCATATTGCGGCTGCAATTTTATGAATGGGCTGCAAAGTGCAGGTTGTGGTATGAAGTATATAAGGGAGAGCAGATAGCTTCATGCATTCTCCATTATAAATGAGTCCCATGTATTTCTTTATGTAGGGAGATACTTTAGTAATAAAAGGGTTCAGGAACGCAGATATGGACTGGTAGCAATGAAAGGTTGTGATGTAAACATGAATCAGAAGAAATCAGGGAGCCCGCCCAGCATTTGCTGCACTCCATTCAGATTCCAACTACGTAGCAACCAAATCTCCGTGATCACTGAGAGTTACCGGCTTGTTGTCAGTCCTCTCATTTCTAGGACACTGACAACATGATATCAGTGAGATAACTGACAAGTGTCAGCTCCATGTCTCAGCAGTACAAAGGTTGGAATCTCTTGTGTGTGGAACTGACATCGGACAGAACATCACACACTGACAGCCAGCGCTGGAACTCAGCCTGGTCACATGACACTTGTTTACTTTCAGGAGTTTTCCCTGGCCTGGGATTGGAGGATGGGCTGTCAGGTGACACACCAGGAAGTGCTGGCAGCAGAGTGTGCAGTGTGGAGGGAGATTTCTGTGTCGTATTTCCAGGTTGCCTGGCAGTGTGTGTGTGTGTCATGGCTGAGTATCAGCTGGAGGCCACAGAGGGCGGCGGCATATACTCCATCCCACAGGGGGAGACCATGATAGGAAGAGGACCCTTTCTGGGGGTGAGTACCATCTCCTCACTAGGGGGTGTGTGATGTGTACATAGAATGGGGGGAGTTCATCAATACTGGAGCACACACAATCTGGAACATTTGCCCATAGTAGCCAATCAGCGCCTCTCTACAGTTTCTTCAATGAAGATTTGAAAATGGAAGAGAAGCTGATTGGTTATTATGGACAACTGTTCAATTCCCCTCCCTATATGTTATATCCTATGTACCTCTTGCATACCTCACATCCTCACTGCACTGATACCACACCTGACAGCAGTGTGTGTATTGTATACTGCTAGTCAGGTGTGTGTATTGTATACTGCTAGTCAGGTGTGTGTATTGTGTACTGCTAGTCAGGTGTGTGTATTGTATACTGCTAGTCATGTGTGTGTATTGTATACTGCTCGTCATGTGTGTGTATTGTATACTGCTCGTCATGTGTGTGTATTTTATACTGCTAGTCATGTGTGTGTATTTTATACTGCTAGTCATGTGTGTGTATTGTATACTGCCAGTCATGTGTGTGTATTGTATACTGCTAGTCATGTGTGTGTATTTTATACTGCTAGTCATGTGTGTGTATTGTATACTGCCAGTCATGTGTGTGTATTGTATACTGCTAGTCATGTGTGTGTATTTTATACTGCTAGTCATGTGTGTGTATTGTATACTGCCAGTCATGTGTGTGTATTGTATACTGCTAGTCATGTGTGTGTATTGTATACTGCTAGTCATGTGTGTGTATTGTATACTGCCAGTCATGTGTGTGTATTGTATACTGCTAGTCATGTGTGTGTATTGTATACTGCTCGTCATGTGTGTGTATTGTATACTGCTCGTCATGTGTGTGTATTGTATACTGCTCGTCATGTGTGTGTATTGTATACTGCTCGTCATGTGTGTGTATTGTATACTGCTCGTCATGTGTGTGTATTTTATACTGCTAGTCATGTGTGTGTATTTTATACTGCTAGTCATGTGTGTGTATTGTATACTGCCAGTCATGTGTGTGTATTGTATACTGCTAGTCATGTGTGTGTATTTTATACTGCTAGTCATGTGTGTGTATTGTATACTGCCAGTCATGTGTGTGTATTGTATACTGCTAGTCATGTGTGTGTATTGTGCTAGTCATGTGTGTGTATTGTATACTGCTAGTCATGTGTGTGTATTTTATACTGGTAGTCATGTGTGTGTACTTTATTCTGCTAGTAATGAGTGTGAATTGTAAAAGGTCTTCCAGTGAGACTGTTGTGGCAGAGTGGGTGTATGTGGCGTGCTTTATCTGTGTGACAGTGGTAGATGAGTTCATTTTCTAGGTGACAGGTGCACAGTGAGAAGTGAGACTTTGGTAGACGGCTGAGTTTGACGTGTTGACATTTGGTTGGAGGCATGTCCCGGCATGTGTGTCTGTGCTCATCGGACAGTGTGACATATCGCCCTCTTCTTCCCGTCTGCTGTTACTTGTCTTCTGAATCTGAACGTTTACACTAATATCATTGCTGGCCTATTTAATGTTGAGCTGGTTCTTTTTGTATACCATTTGAAGTATTTGTAGACCCAAACACTAAAATCTCATAGAAGCGTTCAACATGTTAAAACCTCAAAAGTCAGTTTCAGTATTTTTACATTTGCAGCTTTTATTATAAAAAATTTCTCCCAGCCATGGTCAGGTCTCTGTAATGTGGGAACACGAGAATTCCCACACAGCATGAAATCGCATGTGGCACTGTGTGCTGCGGTGCCATTATTTCCTCATGACACTTCAACACTCCTAGCCATTGCATGTGCGTTGCATCACACCACAACACCTGGTAACCTATTACTATGTGGTGTGATGTATAAAAAAAAAGGGTGCACACACTTCTTTGAGTGTGATTAGATGCAGTAGGCAGCCCTGCAGCAATGCATCATTTAAATTACCTGATTTGCCACATTGCAATGATGTTAATGAGGGCTATGTGATGTTGTCCTTTAACCCTTTCTCTGCCAACGATGTAACACAGAAAGCGATTCTGGCTGGTGAAGTGTGCCCCCTCCGCCCGACAACCCCTGCCTTGCTTCCTGGGCTCTGCTGTCCCTTCTGTGGTAGAGGGGAGAGACCGGCGAACATGCTTTTGCCGATCTCCTCCCCGCTGAACAGAGCTGGAGATGACTTCACTTCCGGTTTCTCAGCTGTCATTTCCAGGCTAGAAAAGCTGGGGAAGAAGCTATCCAAGTGCGATGTGTGCTTGAATAGCTTCTTTGCAGTGGAAATGTGACACTAGGGGTCTAATAGTCCCCTAATGTCACCATAAAGAGCACCTGTCACCACCTAATATTCTATCACATAGGCGGCTTGTAAGCACCCCCATGTGATAACAGTCGAGTAAAGTAAAAAAAAGCAAAATAAAATACATTTTAAAAATAAAAAAAGTTTTAAAGTCCCCCGCCCCCACAAACGCACACATAGTAACGTAAGCACGTGTCGGGTGCGTCTACCTGGAAAACGTCAATTGTGCTATATATCTGAGTTTGGGATTTTGCCAGCTATGGCTGTGGATTTGTTCTTTTTAATATTGGAGTCAATTCTTGGTCTGGGATCAGTTCTTATCTCTAAGCATTTTGTGATTTTAAATCCTAGGTGACATTAGGGGTCTTGGAGACCCTGATGTTTCCATAAAGAGGACCTGTCACGTCTTTTGCTATCACACCTTTTTGCTATGTGATCGCAATAAAGTTAAGTGAAAAAAAAAAAAGGAAAAAAATATAAAGTTACACATAAAAAAATAATAAAATTTAAAAAAAAAAAAAAGTTCCCACCCATACATACACGCGTGCAAACATGCGTCGGGTGCGCATACCTGCGAAAACGACGATTGCGCCCATTACGCCACACATGTTACATATCACCGCGAACGGCGCAGTGAGAGCAATAATTCTAGGGCCATCAATCACTCAATCATTTTGGGGATGGTAGTTTTTTGCGATTTCGCAGGTGCGCACAATTTTTAAGCTTGACATGTTTGGTGTCTACCCGACGTGACGCCGTCTTTTATATTTTACCAAAAAACTGAGTAATAATAATTGTTTCCTAACATAATGTAAAAAAAATACTTTTTTTTGTTTTCCAAAATTTTCAGTAATTCTCCCAAAATATTATAAAAAATAAAAACCCCGGTGGTGATTGAATACCACCAAAAGAAAGCTCTATCTGTCCCCAATAAATGGTATAAAATTCATTTCAGTACAGCGTTGCATGACGGAATAAACGTCAGTCAAAGTACCGCAGCGCTGAATACTGAAAAATGGCCTGGACATGAAGGGGGTCTAAACACCTGGTCAGCAAGCGGTTAATGGCATCCCAGTCTTAGTCCGTAGGGCTCAATATTGAGTTGGCCCACCCTTTGCAGCTAGAACAGCTTCAACTCTTCTGGGAAGGCTGTACACAAGGTTTAGGAGTGTGTCTATGGGAATGTTTGACCATTCTTCCAGAAGCACATTTGTGAGGTCAGGTTCTGATGTTGGACGAGAAGGACTGGCTCGCAGTCTCTGTTCTAATTCATCCCAAAGGTGTTCTTCAGGACTCTGTGCAGGCCAGTCATGTTCCTCCACCCCAAACTCGCTCATCCATGTCTTTATGGACCTTGCTTTGTGCACTGATGCGCAGTCATATTGGAACAGGAAGGGGCCATCCCCAAACTGTTCCCACAAAGCATGAAATTGTCCAAAATGTCTTCGTATGCTGATGCCTTAAGAGTTCCCTTCACTGGAACTAAGCGGCCAAGCCCAACCTCTGAAGAGCAACCCCACACCATAATCCCCCCTCCACCAAACTTTACACATGGCACAATGCAGTCAGGCAAGTACCATTCTCCTGGCAACCGCCGAACCCAGACACGTCCATCGGATTGCCAGACAGAGAAGCGTGATTGGTCACTCCAGAGAACACGTCTCCACTTCTCTCTGTACACCACTGCGTCCGACGCTTTGCATTGCACTTGGTGATGTAAGGCTTGGATGCAGCTGCTCAGCCATGGAAACCCATTCCATGAAGCTCTCTACGCACTGTTGTTGTGCCAATCTGAAGGCCACATGAAGTTTGGAGGTCTGTAGCTATTGACTCTGTAGACAGTTGGCAACTTCTGCGCACTGTGCACTTCAGCATGCGCTGACCCCGCTCTGTCATTTTATGTGGCCTACCACTTTGTGGCTGAGTTTCTGGTGTTCCCAGTTGCTTCCACTTTGTTATAATACCACTAACAGGTGACCGTGGAATATTTAGTAGCAAGGAAATGTCACGGATGGACTTATTGCACAGGTGGCAACCTATCACGGTTGTTTTGTGGAAGCAGTCTGCATGCCTAGGTGCTTGATTTTATACACCTGTGGCCACGGAGGTGATTAGAACACCTGAATCCAATGATTTGGAGGGGTGTCCCAATACTTTTGGCAATATAGTGTGCGTGTATGTATATATATATATATATATATAACAGGTATTTATATAGCGCCGACAATTTACACAGCGCTTTACATAGTTGATTGCACATTCACATCAGTCCCTGCCCGCAAAGAACTTACAATCTAAGGTCCCTATCTCCCATGCATACATACAGGGCCAATTTAGATAGGAGCCATTTACCCTACCGGCATTTCTTTGGAGTGTGGGGTACTGAGTGTAGATTAATAAGGAAAAACAATAAATTAAACAACTGTAGTATAAGGCTGCGATATAACAAAATTGAAAAACGTGAAGGCGGTCTGATTAATTTCTGAATTGTATATACACCTCATGCACAGAGTTTGTAATATCACCTTCCTCATCAGATCTTACCTTATTTACCCAGATTTCACGCCTCTTTCTCAGTAAGTTACTTAAAGGAGAACTATGAGGTGAGTACTTTTCACTCACCTCATAGTTCTAGCCGACCTGTGACAATGAGACTGTCACAGGTCGGCTCAGTAGATCGGGAGGTGAGCGAACACATACCGGGTTCGCTCGCCTCTCGATCCTGTCACGGCTCTCT